AACATGGAAGGTTTTAATACCAATATTTGGGCTTACTTTAGAATAGAGATGTTTCTCAGCTGAGTGATAGATCAAAATGGTTTTAAACATGATTTGTTGTCCACATGGTCTAAGCAACTTTGTTGTAAGTAATTTCTGCCTCCAGACATCAGAGCTTTTTCATTCTCTCTCTCTCTACTTTTGGAGGTGACCAAAATTTTAATTTTATGGCAACCATGTTACAATTGAAGGTTGCCAAAAGGTGACTTTTTGAAAAAATTGAACTTGCTGCCCTGTATTAAAGCACAGGTTTGAGAAACAGTGTGCAACTGATCATTGGTGAAGAAGTTTCACTGTAACTATGGATGGACACAGGAAACTGTTTGTTGAGCATCAAGCACAACATTTGGTTCTTTTCTTTTTTTTGTTTCAGAAGTTTGTTGATTTTTTTGCATGCATAAAAGGGGTTTCCATGTCTTTTTCCTGAAAAAGGACTTCATTATTTCTCTTGGTGTGGCTCTCTAAGTGAAACAGGGCTGAAACATGATGTGGCAATAGTGGATTCTTTAAATGGTAAAAAACATCATGATAAAAAGTCAAACTACATGTTATTTCGAAAATTTAAGATGCAGCAACTGGTATAGTGTATTTTTGCCATAGTGAAAATTGAAAAAAAAGGCAAGCAAAGTCTGAAAAAAATCTAGCATCCTTATTTACATCATCAAGAGCAACATATGTTTTAAGGTGAAAACCTTTGACTTCTTTTCTTTTCTCTTTTTTGTAGTCGTTTGAGAGAATAATTTGTGAAAACCGAGTTCAAGATCTACAGCCCAGTTTAGCCAGTGCTGTGAAGAGCATAAACAGATGGCACCTTATACAGTCATCAGTGCCTTACATCCTTCAGTGCTGCTCCTTGCTTCTTTCAAACAGGGGGCGTCTGGGAAATATTGATAGACTTGGTAACGCAGAACGTGAACTCTTGTTCACACTTCACTGGATTTTGCTAGAAGGACCTCGTGTTTGCTGTGTTGTGGACACTGATAGCTTGCTCTATCCTCTGACCACCATCGAGCAGTTTGTGCATGAGCTCACACCTCATGTGTACCACATGCGAGAGAGCGACTTGACATTTAGACTAGAAAATGGAGTGGCCATTTGGGGACCCCTTTGGAAACACGAGAAGCCATTGATAACGCCATTTACATGTGAAGTTATATCAAAAGATGCTCACGCTGAAAATGACGAAAAAGGAAGTCAGTCCAGTTCTACAGATCAGAGCACATCAGCTGACTCAAATTCAGAGTTTTCACCAGCCACCTTTTTCGATGTTGCTGTTTTGAAGTGTTTGTTGTCAACTGGCTGGGATGAAAATGGTGTCGTTTGGGCACTGCGTTATCTCACTGCTTACCTCAAGAGAGAATTCAACCTTTGTGATCAAGCAACAAGCAGCGGGGCATCAGGAGAGATCAGAAGTGAAATTTCTGCTCAGGGGCCCACAGTTTTAACAGTAAATCCGGGCATCAGTGGGGAAGGAAGTTTAGTCCAAGGTAAAAACAGTGTAAAACCAGATGGAGCAGAAGTGGAGAAGATCAACAAAGAAGGTAATGCACAAAGTGGAAGATTGGGCAGCCAAAGTGCAGCCAACGCGTCTTCAACTGTCACTAACAGTGTACAACTCACAGTTCCTCAAAGTGTAACAACCGAGCCTAGTGGAGAATCACAGTCGGATAACCAGAGCACTTTAAAGATTCCAGATGGTTCTGATGAAGAAAGATCAGCAGCCCAAGGAATAGAGCGCACAGGCTCCATAAGGTTGAGAATAAGGGTGCAATCATCCCCAGGGGGCGCAGCAGGGGGACGAGTGTTGACAGCCGTACCCTCACCGACTGGAGGCATGACCCAGCAAGAGGAGAAGACCATAGCCAATGACGATTCTCAAGATGTCTGCGAGACTAGGAAATTTCAGAGTACCAAAGTTTACATTAAGCCATCAAATGCCCTTCAAGTGCCCTTGGTTGGTACTGGAGATACCAGTATGCAACACGGTGGTGATCCGTTAGAAGCCAGTTCCGAGGCAAGGGATCTTCAAAGTGGACGTCTGAATGATGTTCTTACCAGTGTTTCTTCAGTTAATTCTACTAAAGAAATGATTTTACAAACTGACCGTGTAGAGTCCTGCTATAGCACCTCTCCAAACTATGATGGACAAGCTCAACCGGATCCTTCTCTGATGTATACAAGAAGTAAGGAATCGAGTAATCATGTAGCTTTTGAGAGCATGGTTTCGTATGAAAATGAAGTCCAGGAATTCCAGGGTGGACTGGTGCAAACCGGTGACGTAGCAAAAACAGACCAACTAAAGGATGAAGCAATTTTGAAGCGTCTCTCAGAGCATACAAATTCAAGTCACGCAAGCAGCAGCTCGGTTGAGAGCGAGGTCCAGCCGCTTCTTAAACCTCCCAGTATTGCAACAACAAACAGAAAAGCCCTGGCACTCCTAGGTCTGTGTGAAAATCCAAGAACATTTGTCAACCGCGACTCGCTCACAAAAATCGACCGGTACTTTGTGTTTCCAGGTGCAGCTGATTACATCACTATTGACGGCCGACTGAGTTCCCTAATGATCTTACAAGCTCTGTATAACATCACGCGCGAGAATCCTTCCGCATTAATCAGTGACATGACTCTCACCATTCTGCAGCAGTTGGTTACGATTCATCAAAACAAGAAGTCCAAGAAACGAGGCAGTTCTATCGAGGTCGATGATCGTACTGTTGCTGAAACACAGGCTGTGGGATTCCGAAGCCCTCATTCCGACAATATCCTTGGTAGACTGCGCGCTAGCTTCTACGGAAGGCCTCCAAGTTTCCTCAGTCTAGCAATGGGATGTCTAGTCAGTGTCGTCAAAGCCTTAGGATGTCCTTTGGGTAAATTAATGCTATTTTTCTTCCTTTGTCACTGTGTTAAGTTATTGAACAGGGGATTGGAAAAATTTCATCGGCTAGTTACAAAAGTTAGACGTAGTTAAAAAATGGAAAATAGCGTAATTGTACTTTTCCCTTGTCGAGGCGGTTTTCTCTTCCATTCCATCGATTAAGCATTTCTTTTAGCACTTTTGCAGCACATTTGAAATGTCGACATGCTGAAGACTATTCGAACTTTCATAACCTAAGATTAAAGAGTCCCTAGAGCGACGAAATGAGCCTTTGAATGCACCATCCTTCCATTCTCAAAAGCATTGCCCTCTTTCGTTCGATTACAGACACTCTTTGAAGCCCAATCTTTTTTTGAAATAGCTGTTGCTTCTGTACATCTGCAAACTAAATTTTAATCCTTCATCTCCGTTATAGGATGCGGAGATGGCTGCCGAGGGAACTCTGGTGATCGACTTCGAAACACAACAAACAAGCTCCTGACTCAACTCCTTCGCAGTGAAGAAGCTGCATTCAAATTGTGGCTCCAGCAATATGCGAGATTAGAACCTCACGAAGACTTGGTGGACTTCTTTCATGCCCTGTTGGGCTTCTGCGAGGAAGACCAAGAACATTCTGATGATGAGATGATGCCTGTCGCAAACTCTGACAAACCGATGAGAAAGAAAAGTCTTTTTTCTATGCCAGAAGGCGTCAATGGTGTCATTATTGGCAGCATTTTTAAGATCCTGCTCACCAGAGTGGCTGAGATGAACTTCCTTGAACTAAAAAATTTGGTGAGTTGTTTAACTACATCAGATCTCTCACATCAGGTAAAACTCATCCTTAGGAGCGACCATTTTAAATAAAAGGGTAAGTGAAACACTCCGACAAAGGGCTAACATTCGAAACGTCAGCTTTAGGCAACCTTGACCCTCATTGATATTTTTCTTTATCCTAATCACTTGTCTGCTTTATATTGTATTGATGTTTTGAGAAGAAATTCTGTCTTGGTCACTCTTATAGAAGTATCAGTAGCAGCAGCAGCTGCAGCAGCATTAGCAGCAGTAATAAAACTAGAAGGAGTAGTACCAGGATTAATAGCAGAAGCTGTAGTAGTAGCAGTATCGGTAGTAGCAGTAGTAGCAGTACTGAAATACTCAACTCCCAAACTCACACTTTTCATAAAAATATCCTTATTTCCCCTTAGACTTTTTATGGCGAACTCCGGCAGCTTCTGAGGTTTGTAAAAGAATCGTATGGAAACATATTCTGGAAAGTTGCCTTAAGTGGACTTCGGGACTCGGCCTACAAAGAATCGAAAGATCAGCCAGATGCAAGCAAAACTCCTGCGCAAGATTCGTCCACTAAAAAAGTGTCGACTGTCAGGAAAACATCAGTGGCTAGGATGAAAGTTGAAAGAACTGCTACGTACAAAACTAAGCGCACTCTTTTACAGAAGCTTGTTCGGATCACATCAGAGAGCGCTGATAGCAGTGGCAGCCTAACACGAAGTCTGAAGTTTTCGTCTGCTGTGGAATCCAGTCCTTCGGAGACAGCGTTGTCTCCGAGAAGTAAAAGAAAGGTTGGTTTGTGTGTATATTTGGACTAAAACAACGGTGCTAGAGTCACCTATTGTGTTATTCCCAACATTAAGAAGAACACATGAAGGTTTAACGAAAAGATTTCCGTATAATCACTTACTAGCTAACGACAACAATAAGTCCCCACAAAAATTTCACTTATTTTCAACCGCAAGTTTGTCTTCCGACAAACACAAAAAAATCGCCTATCCGCCGAAAAAAAACCTGAAAGAAATAACAGTACTACACGGTACGTGGTAGTTGTTGTAGTTGTTGTGGGGTACTTAGGGAAAGGATGCTGACCCTTTCTTTCTTTGTTCCTCTCTCGTGACAAGACGATAAACCTTTTTCAGCTCTGAATTAACCTTCTTTCTTATTTCACACGTCTTTACTCACACTTTGTTTTCGCCATTGCTGATCCGAGCAAGAACACGAAACGCGTGTTTCAAATGAACTTGAATATAGCCAAGCTGACTTAAGAGTTATCTGTAGCGTGGTTGAATAGCGTTGGAGCGCGGAGTTCATGGTTTTGAGATTCGATTCCTTGTGGAGACCTCACATTTTTCTATTTCTCCCACGCTCGGGTCAAAATGAAAACATATCTCACTTTTAATACGTAGATATTCATCCGGAAGAGGCAAAAAGCTATGGGCACTCAATATTACAGTGATGAAGACTTGCTGGACACACCAGACACTCCATCAGAACAGCGGCCAAGCTTAAAACGCAAGCTCCTCAAGTCAAAGACTCCTAGTAGAAAGAAATTAGATGATATCTTCCCAATAACGAAGAAAGGAGACACGACGCCATCCACGTTGAGTGAACCTACTCTGCCCATTGATATAGTTGTTCATGAGTTTGAAACTAAACCTGTCGATGTGGAAGCACTAAGGTCTGGTATGGTCAGGTTTCGATTTCTCCTTCATGGTGGTCAGCCGGGTTCCATACCAGATCCAAAGATTTTGGCTTCCATGCTGGACTTGGTGAGTTCAGGATTAGCCATGTCATTAAAAAGCACTGCATTAGGAGCGGGTATTGAAATCACTAAG